CCCCCCTCTCTCTCCCGTCTGGGCTATACGAATCGCTATTCTGACCGAGTGCATGTACGGGACTGGGGCCTGCAGGCCTGTGCGGAGAAGCTAGCTGTGTAAGATTGCGCGCAGAGGATATGAAATATTCCGCTCTCGGACCAACAACCATTGTGCCGATGCGATTCACGATTGCTCATGACCGGTGGCCAAGCCCCCCACTCAAGACTTGTTTTGCCACGATCGAAGAGATCGACGTTCGGGCGAAGGGGTGTGGTCGTGTGCCGCTGTGAAGGAAATTACGATTTTAAGACTCACGACTGACTGCCCGGGGTGACTGACTTCTGCAAGCTTTATGCAGGAATTTTGAATGTCTGCCGCCTAACAGAGAGCTGTCGGCGGGGTGCTCCTTTCTGCTGCGCTTTCAAACTCTGCGGGCCGAGCCAAAAAGAAGGTCCGTCGTGATCCCTGCTGCTGCACCCCGCAACGCATCGATCGGTAAAAGTGCTCGCTCGCTCCTTTACCTCACTTAATAATTGCGCACCATGCAGCAGTCCCATCTCTCTACCGCTCTCTCCCTCTCACTCACTCACAACACGCGCTCGCGCCTGGCGTTTTGACAGAGAACGATTGCGCATCGACTCTCCCCTCAGCTCGCTCTTCGTCCGCCCAATCTTTTGGCACTGTGGCGGGACGCACGGTTGTTCGTGAGGGGCTTTCCCCGCATCAATGGCAGAGGGATCATGCAGCAGAGCTGTACTGTATGGTGAAGGATCCAGACTGCCCGGGCTTGAACGCCGCTCTCTGCAGTCGTGAGTGAGCTGCACCGGCTGCTCGTGCTTGCAGCATGTGCTTGCGGCGTGCGTGTCGCCTATACTGCCTGCATGCATGCAGCAGGGGCGGAATTCAAATTCATCCGCTTCCTCAGCAGCCGCGGTCCAAGAGTTAGAATCACGAAATCGTGTTCGAATCGTCAATTCAAGATTGTCCATCAATAATATTCTGAATTGAATGTCAATTGGATGTGAATGCTGTATGGATGCACGCACGCACGCACGCACGCACGCACGCACGCACGCACGCACGCACGCACGCACGCACGCACCCACGCGCCAGCCAGCCAGCCACACCGCATGCCAAAATTCCGAGAGCTCACTTTCCGATTTCGCAACGCTTCATTGACCGTCAATGGTGCTTGTGGTGGGTCAATCACAGCTAGCTCCCACGAAGAGCGTGAGGGGCCGCAAAACGAAGGTCCATTTGTCCGGAAAAGTTCGCTCCATGCCCTGTGCAACGAATCCTCTCCAGCCGCCGGCGGATAATGCGGGATTCATAAACCCAGGGTTCGTTGCGAATCGGGGGGCCAGACAGACGGACGTTCAAGCCGGTAACTTGTCATGATTCCAGATTGTCATCGTGCGAGGGACGGCAAACCATGCAAACTATTTCCGCCGTGCTATGCCTTGCACCGGTAGCGTGATGCAGCAGGGTGTGGAGGGACCGGAAGGCCGCGGTGGCCGAACGCCGGCACAATCAATCAAAGATGGCTTCCTCTTCTGCTCACCCAATGGACCACCGCTCTTGCTGAGCTCGCTTTCGTCCCTGCTCCCACAAGCTCACGAGCCACAGAGAAGTTGAAAGTCATGATTTCTTCCGATCGATGCATCACGTGCCTTCACTTCCAAACTTCTCCGCGTCTGGCCAGCTGGCCCATGCCCCGAACGCGTTTGCCAATCCTCCCGCGTGTTCCACCTTCAAAGCTGTCTCTTTGAGTTCCACATCCGCCACCTCTTTGTAGATGCCGCACGCCGCATCTGCTATACTCCGACCAGTGAGCAATAGCACGCGTCCCTTTGGAGCCAATAGCTCCTTGACCGTCTCTGCCACCTTTCGAGAGGTGACCTGCACAGTGCCGTAGCATGACCAGCGGCGTTACGAGCTTTCAGCATTGGGCGCACTGAGAGCGGCTGCCAATGGACGTAGAAATGTAACTCACCTCGTTCAGGAATGGTGGATCAACGACGGCGAAGTCGACCCTTCCCTTGAGATGCTCGGGCACTCTCAAGGGCTCTTCGAGGTCGTAGTGGACGAATTCTTCCGCATCGATCAGCTCGAACCTCCGATCGTATTCGAGCAGGTACGTCTGCTTGCGATTGTATGCGTGCTGAAAGCCAACGTATGCCGTCGGGGAAGAGATGAATACCAGAACATCGCTGCGAGACACGATAGGAGCCATGAGATGTGCGAGTCTTGCAGCAAATTCTGCAGAGTACCTGTCAAGACAACGTGTTGCGCAGTCAGTACAGCAGGACTGAAAGGTGGTTTCTGAGTGCGCTAGCAGAAGTGGGACCCTACGATCGCGAGCAAGTTTGATGCCGACTTGCGATGCAATCTCGCTTTGACAATGTTCAGAAGCGCACACCAGCTCCCGCAAGGATAGCGCCAGAAGACAGACGATGCGTCTGCGAGCTGTACGAGTGGCAGGACGAACTCACCAGAATTGACTGAGCTGCCAATCTTCCCCAAAGCCCTTGCGGAATTCTTCGACGCTCATACGCTCGACCACCGCTTCCGTCTCGTCGTTCGCTGCAACCTCGGCTGTGTCCACGCCGTTGATCTTGCTGTTCTTTTTCTTCTTTTTTTTCTTCTTCTTGACCGCCCCATTCGCTGCCGTCGAGCTTGCAGGATTCTCTATCCTTGCAGGCGCAGCATGACTTTCCGACCGCTTGCTTTCCTCGTCCAAGCTCAGATGCGAGACTTTACTTGCCAGCGCTTCTTGCGCAGCGGCTCTTCTACGAACCTCTGCCCTCTCCTCCAATTTTCTGAACCTTTCTTGCTCCTCCTCTTTCTGCTCTCGAAACTGTCCGAGCAGAGCCAAGGTGTCGCTGGGAAGCTGCAGGGGAGAAGACGAAGTGGAGGAGACGCTGCGAAGAGATCGAGGTCGTGGCGAAGAGCTGCTGGGAATCGGCGCGCTATCCGGCGACTCGTCCATCTCGCTGACAAGGGGGATGCACCGAACGGCGGGAGACTCTGCTGCCAGTCTCTTGCCTCGTGGAGAAGGACCGCTTTCTTGAAGAGCCTTCAAGCCTTCTTCGTACGATAGCTTTTCAAAGGGCGACCCTGCGCTAGCTCGGGCTCGCGGCGGATGCGAGATGTTGTTGCGAAGTTGGTAAGGCTGGTCGCAACCGTCAACGGCTCGGTGGATTGCAAGAGTTTGGAGAGTCATGAGTCAACGAGTGTGTTTGGAGAAATCAAAGGCGCGTGAGCGGCATCTGCCTGCGTGCATGGGAGTCGGCCCGCGGACCCGCGCTTGAGAAGACTTTTCTGTCAAGCAAGTCAACACGTGACTTCTCGCCGCCCGGGCGAGATTCATTAATCAGAATCAGAATTAATCTTGAATGTGAATTCTTGATTGCCCCGGGACCCCACCCCGCGCGATTAGTTTGGGACTTGGATTTCGATTCTTGAGGCTTGAATCACATCAACAATTATGAAAATGGATGGCAATTGAGATTCAAATTCTCACTCGAAAGCTCAAGCGTCGCGAGCCAGACATTCAAGATTGCACACATGGCTGATATCCAGATGCCATGCAATCGTGAATCTAACTTATGAAGGGTCTCATCAGCATCTGTACACACTTCTGCAAACGAGAGTCGGTCCTTCACCTCAAGAAAGAATCTGACTCGGCCATGCTTAGCTAGCTTAGCCACGTACTGGTCCCCCATCTCCTGCTGTTGTCCGCGCTTCACGAGTCGAGTTGGTGTCGCGTGCAAGGTTGGTGAGATCGGGCAGCAATTTTCTTCGCGTTGCGCCGCTCGCGCTCTGACGCGCATGCTAGCTGCTGCTGTTGCTGATGGTGATGCCGCACGGCCATCAAGGCATGCCATGCATGCCTGCGTGCAGCCCCATTCACCATTCTTGCTTGTTTGCAAGCGCTCCTCGCTTTCTTTTTTTTTTCTTGCGTTAGCCGCATCAAAGGGGTGCCGCGCGCATACAGAAGAGAGAGGGCGCGGACCTGCGCCTGTGGTGTTGCATGCTTTTTCGCACGCAGCAGCAGCAGCAGCAGCATTCTCCTCATCGGTCAGGGTCACTGGTCACGAGCCGGCCTGCTGGTAGACCATGATGCATACAACATGCAGCATCATCTCCAAAATCAACCTTTTGAACCGTCTTTCTTGCCAATTTTTCTTCAATTCCTCTGTCCTGTCTGTTCTGTCCATGATCTTACAGCGGCTGTGCACGTGTGACGACTGCAGGTCAACGTCTGAAGCATCTGCTTCAAGGAGCCACACCAACCACGTCTTGGGCGCCGTCTCGAGCTTCGCCTCTTTTGGCTACGCCCCAGTCTGAGTGCGCGTTGCACTTCAGACTGCGAGGAGAGAAGCCACTCTGCTTATCGCTTCACTCTGCGCGCAGTAAGTGCGCAAAGTGCAACTTCCACCACCTCTGCTTGGGCTCGTCATCAAGCGGGTACCTCCAACCCCCCAAAACTCTCGGCCTTGGGCTGCCAAGCTTCGATCCGCTCTCAATCAGCGCAATGTCAGCGCGTCTTTCGGCGCAAGCTGGAGGTGCTCAAGGCAGCTCGTCCAATCGAGGACGGGTATCGGCAGGACCTTCCAGCGCTCAAGGAGGGTCGAGCGGTAGATCAGGTGGACCAGCGTCCAATGCCAACGCATCAGGTCCCACGAGACCTTCACCTCATCCCACTGCTCCTAGGAGGGTTGTGCCTCGCACCACCCAGCAGCAACAGCAGCAGCAGCGCGAGAACGCTGCCAATGCTGGCGCACCTTGGAGAAGCAGCTTGTGAGTCTGACGCGGTGCATGGAAATGTGGAACGTCAAGCGGCCTGAGCTTACCTTCGCCGCTTGTCTTACTCGACAATCGCTGTAGAGACCTAGTGTGGTCATATTCGCGCTCGCAGGCTTTCTTTGGGGACAACATTGCCACTGAGCCATCCTTCGTCGATCGACGGTGGGCAGGGCCAGCTCTGGGTGCCGAGGGGCAAGACTCTTCAGAATTGGCATCTGACACGGGAGACGAGACATACTCCGACTATGAAGAAGAGCTGGAAGATGAAGATGGCTTAGAAGAAGGGGAATTCTCTAACGATGTAGGAGTCACCCTGCCCGGACAGATGGAATGGGAAGAACCACTACCACCCAACGCGGTGGGTAGACGGCGCAGTGCAACCCCCATCGAGGGTCCCGCGGCTAGGCATGCCAGGAATTGGAGGCTGAGCAGCTTGGCTAGGGAAGAAGACGAGGACGAGGAAAGAAGTCGGAGCAGAAGTCGTAGTCCCAAGCGCATTGAAGCAAGCGCACCTCAAAGACGTAGCAGAGTGGGCGGCGGCGGATCCAGTCGCTTCAGAAACAGCGACTCGAGCCATTTTACCGAAGCGGAGACGAGCAGCGGTAGCGAGCTTCAGAGCGGCAGAGGTGCTGGCATGAGAGGAGCACACAGCAGGAGTGCTCAGGCCCAGCATACAGAGTCCACACCCCTACTGAGCACTAGCCCGACAGAGTCCATACCGCGCCGTAAAAGCTCGGCACTCTCGGCTGGCGGTGCGAGAAGGACGAGCTATGCTAGCAAAACGGCCAGTGGTCTTTCGCATCGATCTTTTCAGGAAAATGCGGGATCGTCAACATTCTGGCAATCATGGTTCAACACTGTCAATGCGCTGGTTGGTATTGGTATTCTGTGAGTGTGGCGCTCCTTGCATCTGCTAGCACAAGACTTGGATACTGAAGGCACGTACGTGATGCGCTCGATGCAGAGCGCTTCCACTTGCGCTTTCGTATGCGGGATGGATTCCCGGCATCATCTTGTTTTTGCTCTGCGGTCTACTGACCAATTACACCGGAAAGATTCTGGCAAACATCATGAGTCGGGATGCGTCGCTCCGGACGTACGCAGACATCGGAGCGTATGCATTTGGTCCCAGCGCTCGAGTCTGGGTCAGCGGCTTCTTTTGCCTGGAGCTGTGGGCCGTTGGCACCGGTGAGTGGTCGTCCTCTTGATGCTGACCGCATATTTGTGAAGAAGCGGTGGTCAGTCGACTGATCTCGCCGCAACCTCCAGCTCTCGTAATCCTTTTTGGCGATAGCACATATGCACTCGTACAGGCCTCAGCGAAAGGCCACAGGGTTGATAGTCCAGCTGCGAATGCCGAGCTGTTGTACGCGCTTGGCGGGATTTCAACTTGGTCACCCACTGCATTCAAAGCGCTAGGCTTGGCCATTGCTTTGCCTACCGTCTTTCTTCCTCTACGCTTGTTGAGCCCGATCAGCGTTGTTGGCATTGTCAGCATTTTGAGTAAGTATGATGATGGTCACGACCATCTGAAAGGTTCCCTCATCCGATCTTTTTGCTGATACTCTTCCCGTTATATTCCATTCAGCTCTCTTTGCCGTTGTTCTCTCGGACGGGCTCATCAAGAAGGAGAGACCTGGTTCTTTGTGGGATCCAGCAGTCACCTCTCTGTGGCCAGAGTGGTCCAGACTGCCCCTCAGCTTTGGGCTGATCATGAGCGGCTTTTCAGCCCATCCCATCATACCCTCCATCAGCAAAGACATGAAGGACCCTGCTGTGTTTGGCAAAATGCTCGACTTGGCTTACATTGCTGCCACCCTGATCTACCTGGCGATGGGCATTGTCGGAGTGAGCATGAATGCGTCTCTGTGGCCACGGCCAACTGCGGGACAGGCAAGCTCACCAAGCTCATCTCGCTGCGCCCTACCAGTACCTCCTTTTTGGCCACGAAGTCAGCTCGGAGGTGAGGCATGCTAGTGACGTTTGCCTGCATCGGTTGTCATGCTGACGCGGATGACCACGTATGCCTTTCATCCCAAATTCCAGATCACTCAAGACTTATCCCGTACAGCGGGCTACCCGCGCGTTCTCAATAAGATAGCCATATGGATGATGGTAGTCTCCGCGCTCTCTAAATTCGCTCTCGCTGTCCGCCCACTCAACACCACTGTCGAGTTACTGGCTGGCGTGGAGCAAAGCCTATGTCTGCCGCTCAAGAGCCCTTCTGGCACCAGCAAGCGCCGGGCTTCTGCTGCGAAGCTGGACGGTGAGCGCGGTAGGGCAGGTTTACGTGCCCATTCGCAATTCGGCCACGGCGGAGACGATATCGAGCCCCGCCTCGACATTAGCAAAGCGGAGCCTCCCGCTGCTGCCAAGGCTACGAGTTTGGGTGCAAATATAGCTGCGGAAGACCCTGACTCGGGATCCATCACTCCCATTGCGGATCCAGAGACGGGGACCACCCTACCGCATCCGAGCTCTGACAATCCTCTCGCTGGTAGCGCGATAAGTCTTCGAGCTGCTAGGACCACTTCGACATGGACGCCTCGTACCCGCGCCTTGCTGAGGGCGAGCCTCAGGGTGGGTGTAGCTCTCCTTGTCGGCCTGACCGCCATCTTGCTTCCAGGCTTCGAAAAAGTCATGGCTTTTCTTGGTGCCTTCTTGGCTTTCTCTACCTGTGTCTTTGGACCCGTGCTGGCTAGTGAGTGGTCTGTGCAGAACGAGGAGTCACTGGTCCGCCGGATGACCACACTGACTCAATCTACGTGTCCTGTTTTTGCACACAGACATGAAAGTTAATTTCTCGAGCATGTCTCGCAGACGGATCATCTTCGACATCTTTATCCTTGCAATTTCCCTCGTGCTCGCCGTCACGGGCACCGTTTGGGCTTTCTTGCCCGTAGCCACCAAGTCACACTTTGCCATTTGAGTGCGGCGTCTTTGCCTCTTCCTCACCCCACGCCAAGGTCCTCACCGCTCGTTGTGACGTGGCGAAGCTCCCTTCACGTTTTCATGGTCTGCTTCAAAGCAGCCTTCCCAACTCTTGTTCAACATTATATTGTCACCTTCATCCAGCACGCGCTCGCATCAACTATCCATTTCATGGTATGATGGCACGACGTCACAACCTACGCAATGAATCTCCCAGTGCAATTGCATATTTTACAATTCCGTTGACCATCAGATTGCGAAAGCGAGGACGATTGGAGGGCTTGCTGAGCCAACGTTCATGGGAGCTTATGTGACACGCTTTCAAGCCTCTCCAAGCATGCTCGCAGAGCCGCAAGCTCCTGAAAAGCATGCAGCGCAGCGAACTTGAGCGGCGAGGCATTGGGCTTCTGCAAAGGCAAGATTTCAGCGGCTACTCAGCAGGTGTGGGGGGTTAGCTTTCGTCGTCCTCGTCGTCCTCACCTCTATAATAGCAAGAGCTTTTCTTTCCTCTTCCGGGCGAGAAATTCGCAGACCGGCCAAACGAGACTTGACGAGTGTCTGCAAAGCTTGTATAGTGCGCTTGACGCGCTCGGCGTCTCGCGTTGCCACAGTTCGCAAGATCCCTTCCTGCGGTTCATGTTCTGCCACCAATATAGCTAGATCTGATTCGGCGTCGGCAATTCCACGTCTGATGACGAGGCCTTCCTGTAATGGCTCCATCGTGTTTGCGAGATTCGCTGTAGTCTCTGCAGAGAGCTGAGCGAGAAGCGCAGCCCGCCAAAGCACCACGGAAACGCGACCTTCACCGTCCACGAAGAAGGGCTGCCGCAAGTCGGAAGTGCCTTCGTGGTCCGACAAAGGCGCCAAGAAGGACTCCAGGCCCTCTGCGATTGCGCTGGACCTGATGCCGCCCAAGTGTTCGTGATTGGTGATCGATGACCTTCTTTCGGAAGGCTCCACGTGTGCCAAAAGGCTGAACGGAGAGTCTACCGGCAAGCTCAGCGTCGCTTGCTCGGGGAATCTCGGACTTGCTGCCGGTGCCATGATCCCACCCTCGGACGGATCATTGAGCAGCTCCTGCACTCCATGCCATGCTTCTTCAACCCGGAGGTTCAAAGCATGCACGCATTTGCGAACGAACTTCCGGCGAATTGCAAAATTCTGTGGTACCAAGGGTGCGCCTGATGTGTCGATACATTCTGCAAGATTATTTTGCACGTTCGAGCTACCGTTGTTCGTCTCAGCATCCGACAGTCTCGTGCGCTTGTTGGACCTCTGAGCATCGTCTACCGAGTTCTCTGTATATCGCAAACTCAGATCAAGAGCTCCAGGTGCCGTTCCCAACTGCAGGCTGGTTGCAAGCTCCCGTCGCTCGTCCGACATGCGCCAATCCCATCCAATCCTTTCAAACTCCGTCTCTTCCGCCAGAACAAAGCCATAAGCAGCTAGCAGACTCGCGTTGCTGAGCAGGCCATATGAGTTGAGGCACTCTTCGTTCTTCAGTATGGCAGAGGTTGCCACCATATCTACTGTGTCCGCTCCAATCTGAGCTAAGATTGGAAGCGGGGGGACCCAGTCGACAGAATTGGGCCCATGTGATGCCGGCATGAAAGCTGACGGCCTACCATATGCTGAGCCCGGTAGCGGGTCGTCGCTGTGAGGGCATTTGCCCAAAGCTCCGCACTGATCGCAGACCTCGTCGTCCGCTTCGAATTGCATGTTGGGGTCGGACGAATGATTGAACCTGGAGGCAGTGCGAATGACAACTCCGGTCACTGCATGTACGTGATCGTTTGGCTGGTGCATTGCACCGCACTCACATATCGGCCAAGGGAACAAGGGCTAAGCTGCGTGCAATTCACGAAACTTGTGGTCAGCTTGCCCTGGTGATCGCTATCCAGGCGACTGATGCTTACCCATGCCACATATCTACCACGAAAGCGCGAGAGGAGACAATGCTGTACGCTCTCCGGAAGCTGCGCAGCAAATGGTCCTCCGCGCCTTTCATGTAAGCAGGACGGGCTGCTTGGAGTGTCGGAAGCACCTGGCTTTGGAAATAGCCATCAAGTCGCTTCTGAGAGGGGTGATCCTGCAAGAAGTGAGACGCGCCCCACTGGAGCTCGCAAAATTTGGACGCACGATTCACTCACGAGGCTCATCCCCATGCCTTCTAGGCTGCCGGCAGGATCTTTGGAGACGCGCTCTACAATACGACCAGCCTCGGTGTTGCGTATCCAGCTCCATTCTTCCGACTCTTTGGGCCATAGCAGAGGTATCGGCACACCCCAATCTTCCGAATCGGAGAAAGGTTCGGGCTTTCTGAGGCTCGCAGCCCCTTGCGCATGGGTTGCGCTTGAGCAGGGCGAGGATGGAAAGGCCATACCATGGGGCAAGCTTCCTAAATAGCCAGACCAGTCGCTCTCTCCTCCAAGTAGGTACTCGTGCAGGAGTACAAGGCTCAGCAGCAGTCCGGCAGAGGAGTCGGAGTTAAAATAGTCTTCTGAGGGAATATGCTTGGCCAAACTAGAATTACGTGGGCTTAAGATGGCCGACTTGGGCGTGAGGACCACTGTCGTCCCATATCGGCATGGCTTCAGTCTAGCATACAGAAGTACAGAGCCAAGCGTGCTTTGGTGCACTCACCGACCTGGCGTGGCCACACACGGATGTCGATGTCATTGTCATCCGTTGCGTCCCGTGCTGCGTCCGTTGTCCCTTGGTGCCTCTCGACCGCATACACCCCGAAGCCTGCATGGCCTACTTCATTGGCATGCGTGCTGTTCGAATACGTATCTGATGACTCATTGCCCGGCGTGAGAGAGGTTCTGATCGCTATGCCGTCGTGCGTCCAGATGTGCTTGGATTTGGCCCACTCAAGCAAGTCTTGCAGGCGTGCGGCGTCCGTAGACATGACAGCGGCCCCTCGACCCGCCAGCACTTTCTGTCCTCCAATCGTGAAGCTCTGAGACTTGCAAGTCAAAGGTCCGTAGACCTCATTCCCCGAGCCGTTTGCACGCCATTTGGTATTGTAGTACCTCCAACTCTGAAGCGAAGCCAACGTAGTGAAGCCAATATCAAGGCTGAACAAAGCGATTCAGGTCTTGGCCTGCTCTTCAAGAGTAGTGTGATTGCATGGTGATTGCACGCGCAGACATCCCGCAGTTGCAGTCGCGAGTCGAGTTAGAAGAGCGTGAGTGGTGGTGGGCCGTGCGTCGTGAGCAGCAGCTCCACCCCGAGCATGCATCCATGCGTCAGGCCGACCGCGAGCGGAATGATCTAGAAGCACATCTGCCGGACCCATTAATTCACAGCCATGCTGTTGACTCATGCTGACTCTCGAGGCCAAGATTACAAGGGCGAGGTTGCATGGGCGTTGGGCTGCATGTGGCGCAAGGCAATAATGCCTGCTCGTCGCGCGGCCGCGTGAACGCTTACGCCGTCAATAACGCGCTGTGTGCTGCCGGCGAAACGCGCGACGTGCGAGGCTCGTCGAGCTTGGGCACGCGCTTGCTTGCATCTTTGTCTCACGGCGGGCCGATTCACGTTGGCATCCGGCCACGATCCTGCTGTGTGACTGCAGCGCCGGCTTGGGTTTGGCGAACTTGTGCTGACTGCTGATGGCTCATGGCTGCGTGGCCAACTCGTGACTCATGGGTGCGTGCGGCTGCGCTGCGAAGGCCGATGCCCAGCAGAATATATCAATCGTGACGATCGTTGATCAATCGAATCACGAATGTCGGGGCGTGCATGTGCGTCGATGCAGGAAAGCAAGGTAGCTTCTTCCAGAAAAGGTTTGCACGCGCGGCCGCGATGAGGTGTACAACATCGTCAATCACAATCAAGCACAAACCTACGTCGCGCGCACTCTCACTCTCACTCTTGACTCGTGACTGATTTCGGGAACGAGGCGCCCTGACAAGGGCAATAGAAGCATGCCAGCCTCGCTGCATGCGCCGATAGCGAATTCACACTCGTGACCTACCGCCAGCGCTTCACGCACAACCCTCCAATTTCTGCACGCGCGCACGGCTCAGCCACCAAGTGCAGACATCGATGCCGGGCACGCGCTGCTGGCCAGCGCCTGTCTGTGATCTGCTTGCTGGTTGCTTTGGTCACACAGACGCGCATACCACGTATCCTGTACGCGGCACGCAGCCAGTCAGCCAGCTAGCCATCGCTCCGCCGTAGCACCGACGCTACCGAGAGTTCATGCATTGTCGTCAGCGGGCCATCCATCATCAATCAGCAGCATTGCAGCAAGGGCCACCACCAGCTAGCAAGCATCTTTTGGCTTCTCAAGTCCTCGCGCTCTCGTCTCCCTCGCGGCGGAGGCACAGCAAGCATTCACGATTCTGATTCACGAATCATCCGTCAAGCTTGTTCGAGGTACTATACATAGCGGCTGCAAGCACGACTCCGCAGGTCAGCCCAATCGCCTGACTGAGCGTTGGCCCCTCTTGTATCTCCGCATCCAGAAATCGTGAATAGGGTGCACCTGCAGCCCACCAGAGCCACACCAAGCCGATTCACGCACACCTAGCTCCGACCAAGCTCAACGTTGGCGCGCCGCGCATTAACGCATCAGCAGCACGTTTGGCGCACAGAGCACGAGGTCGATACTCGCATACAAGCATCAAACTCCAGCGTCATCGAGGTGAATGCCTGTCACACCGTCCTAAACACCACTTGCGGCTCCGAACACCTCGCTGAGCTCAAGCTCACGCGGTACACATCCTCCTCATTATCATCTAGCGCAAGTCATTCGGCTGAACACGCTCGAACGATCAGACAGCACCTCTTAGCCTGGGCTATTCTTGCGAGCGATCCACCTGTGTGGCGCGCCAGCCCTCCAGAGCTACAGTCCCACGAGCGACGAGTCAGGAGCACAGCTGTACAAGCCGCAAGGCTATAGGCATCATGGCAACGCAAAGCTCTCCCGCGGCACTTGCCGCGAACTTCCACATTGGCCAGAACTACACCGTGGTGGATGTCATTGGGGAAGGAGCCTATGGGGTCGTCTGGTGAGTCAAGCTACCTTGTCAGAGCTCGTTGCTCGTCCTCGCTCACCGCTGATTACATGCTGCAAACCTGCGTACACACGTCTCGCCTCCAGCTCTGCAATCCACAACCCATCTCAGACAAGAGTCGCTATCAAGAGGATCACTCCTTTCGATCATTCGATGTTTTGCTTGCGTACGCTCCGAGAGATCAAGCTGCTCCGGCATTTCAATCACGAGAACATCATCTCGATCCTAGACATGATCAGACCGGATGACTACGAGCGCTTCCAGGAGGTGTACCTGATCCAAGTAAGTATCTTTTCGTGACGCTTTTGCCAAGCGGACACCAGTGCAGCTTGGCTTTCCGCTTGGGCGGATCTTGTCAAATGCAGCGAAGACGAGCACCTTTTTCGCACTCTGTCCAAATGCTCATCTTCACGCCTGTCTGTGCAACAGGAACTCATGGAGACGGACATGCATCGCGTGATTCGCACTCAAGAGCTCTCGGACGATCACTGCCAGTACTTCATCTATCAGACTTTGCGCGGTCTCAAAGCCCTGCACAGCGCACAGGTGCTGCATAGAGACTTGAAGCCGAGCAACTTGCTGCTCAATGCCAATTGCGATCTCAAGATCTGTGACTTTGGTCTTGCTAGGAGCGCGAACCAGCCCGAGGCGCAGGGCACTGGATTCATGACTGAATACGTGGCGACGCGTTGGTACAGAGCACCCGAGATTATGCTTACGTGAGTAGAGAGGAGTAACAGCGAACGAGGGCTCTTGCGCAGAGCAAATCTCAAACCGGAAACGGATCTGACTCACTCGTGCATCTGCGGGCGATCGGACAGCTTCAAGGAGTACACAAAGGCAATCGACATCTGGTCTGTAGGGTGCATTCTTGCCGAAATGCTGTCGGGCAAGCCTCTCTTCCCTGGGCGTGACTGTGAGTTTCGCCAAGCATGGCGCAGGCCGCAAGCGCTTCTGCATGCTGACTGGCATCCCACTGCAATGTGCTTGTAGACCACCACCAGCTCTCCCTCACCCTCGAGATATTGGGCACGCCTTCTCTCGACGATTTCTACGCGATCACTTCCACTCGTTCCAGAGATTACATCCGGGCGTTGCCGTTTAGGAAAAGACGCGACTTTTCCAAGATGTTCCCTCAGGCAAACCCGCTGGCTGTGGACTTGTGAGTCTAGAAGGGAGAGGGTTGAAATTGTCTCAACGGTCTTAGCTCATCGCTCGTCCCTTGTCGTCTCCGTCTTGTTTGGCTGCAGGATGGTGAGTACTTTCTGCAAGACAGCCGGGTGGGCTTGATCCTTGGCGCTTACATGAGCGTCCGCCGTTGTATCTAGGAAAAATGCTTGACTTTCTCGCCGAGAAAGAGAATCACAGTAGAGCAGGCATTGGCCCATGAATATCTCGCGCCATACCACGACCCAGGTGCGTGCCTTTGCATGATCTCGTACACATGCGGAGGACTGATGCGTCAAAATCCCTCCAGATGATGAGCCTGGAGCGGATCCTTTGCCCATGGAAAGCTTCAAATTTGATCTTGAGCCTGTGAGTTGGCCAAATGGCTTCTTTGTCCCTTCGTGATCATGTTGTTGAAAAATTACACACTTCTGGCTGCGCCGATTGACCTACGTCCTCGAAGTCTCTTGCGACGAAAGACAAGTGAGTGGGCTCATTGACGCCGCTACCACCGTCCCAGTGGACCACTTGCTGATCTGCTGTGATTCTTTGCTCGGGCAGCTTGCGTGATGCTATATGGCACGAGGTCACCACCTTCGTAGCAAGGACTTGATGGGAGCAATGCAAGGACTTGAGGAGGCGGAAGGTTACGAGAGACAGACGAAAGGAAAGAGCCATCGTGCTCGAACTTCACGCACACCTAGACACTCCAAACTTGTCATGCGCTACCTCTCCCTTTCCTGCTCTCGAGCATGCGACACGCAAGCGTGTCTATGATGTGGCCCAGCAGATAGTATGATTTCTGGACGTGACGATTGGTGCCTGGGGCAGCTACAATGTATGCCCACCCCATCTTGAGATCGGGCGCGCGTGAGGACGTGGCGGGGTGCACGTCATCTGATTGGGCGACTGTTACAGTTGCTGGTCTCTTCCTGACGCTACAATGAATCGTGAGTGTCAGGGTCGCATTGCGCGTGCGTGTACAGGGATGTCTGTGGTATGTAGCGTAAGTATGTGCGTACCGGTACGGTTGGTACAGGCACAGTCACAGTCAAGCGTCACGAGTGGTGAGTGCGAGTAGGCTCAGCTTCGCAGCTTCCTCCTCGGTCGCGCGGCAAGTGGAGGCTGCTGAGGTCGGGCGCGCGCATCGGCGCTTGTTGTGACTCGTAAGTTCGAAGCTGCTGCACGCTGCGCGATGGTTTGGAGGGCCGTGAACCTTGTAAACATCTTCTTCGCTCTTGCTTTCGCTGCTCGCCCCTTCACCATCACACGTCCATCAGAGACGGGAAAATCTGTAGTTCATCAAATAGAGCTCAGGACTCGGGCATAGCTTGGCAGCGGCCTAGAGAGAAGAACTCGTCATAGAAAGCATTCGACGAAGGAGCGCGAGGCGTCGAAGCTATCGCACGTGGACCGCATGGCTCCACGACTACGTTTGGTCACGGTCGCTACAACATTAGCCACCCTCGGTGCTGCACTGTGGCTCGTTCCAAACATAAGGCGCCAAAATTTTGCCGAGATGGGTCGACGCAATAAGGAAGCGCTGTACGATCAGAGCTTGGAAGTCCGACAAAGCTTTGACAGATTAGTTGCTGAAGGACCAATGCCCAAGCTCTTTGCCTTTGTGAGGGCGGGCATGCCCATAGCATGCTTCAATCGATTTGCGAGCTCATACTTCCCACACCTCTGCAGGACTTGGATTACACGCTCTGGCCAGCTTGGGTGGATACGCACGGTGTGTACGGATTGTGTCGGTCGGTCTCTTGGCACAAGATGCTCACGCTGTGCCTGCCATAGTCGACCCCCCCTTAAGGCGCGCATCAGGCGATGCCATCAACAAGGTGGTCGATAGGTGCGTCAAGCCGGCAATCGTTGCTTGTTGGTCCTGCTTGTCTTTGACGCTCCTGTTCTGGCGCTCCCTGCAGCAACGGCCAACCCCTCTCTTTCTATCCACACGTGCCAAGCTTGCTGCTGAGCCTTGCCCGGACTTCCATACCTATCGCAGCAGCCTCTCGGACTTCGGCCCCGACGGCTGCCAAGCAAGCGCTCAGTGGGCTCTTTCTGAAGGACACTGATCCTGCGCCGGCCGATGAGCCACCTCACTCGCCAAGAAGGAGCGTTGAGGATCGCACCCGCATCGTCAAAGCTATCAGTGAGTCGTTCTCGCGCGCGAACCGTCTGTTCCAGCCTGTCGCAGCTTTTCGCGTGGCTGACGTTCTCGACGCCAATGCAAGGTTTGTTCGACTACATGGAGATCTACCCAGGATCTAAGATCACGCACTTCAATAGAATACACAAGGACTCTCGCGTGCCCTACGAAGATATGTAAGTGCCTGCGGTGACGCTGGAGATGGCGCAGCGTGTCACGCAGCGCTATGCTTCGTGCTCATTGAATCTTTTTTGGCCGGCGAACTAGGATTTTCTTCGACGATGAAAGACGGAACAGTACGTATGGAGAGCGTTGCCAAGCGCACGAGCGAGTGGCTTAGGCTTACACTCAACATTTACGCTTGCACAGGTGAAGTCGAGCGCAAACTCGGCGTTCACTTTGTGGAGATCAGCAACTCGGGACTCGACTTGGAAACATTTGAAAATGGCGTACGACGATGGCGAGCTAAACGCGCTGTCGAGCAGTCTGGCGAAGAAGACCTGGCTGACTCCCCTCCACGTGGACAGCTATGAAGCGACTCGCCTGACCAACGGCAGACGTTGTGTCCATACAGCGGGGTGCGCTATGTCCTTCAAGAACGATGCCGTGCTATCGGGAGGCATAGAAGGGGACACGCGTCACTCAAATCTAGTGCTCGTTGTTGGATTCTTTGCCCCATGCAGTGTGGTGCAATCCCATGTCTGATGATTCCAAGCTGGCATGACACGTCCTGTGAATAACGGGCTTCGCTGACACGCAGAGCAAAGCTTTCGGAGAGCATGTCAGTGGCCCTTGGCATGGTTTGTGACCCTTGAACACGATCCTCAAGGTATTGAGTGGACCAGGATCCATTCTGCCTTGTTCACGATGCCTGGATCAATGTTGTGCCCGAGAGCTCGCAAGCAAGCAAGCGACTCTTATGACCTCGCAAACGCAGCTCGCCTGCGCGAGAAGGACACTCATTCCGAACGCATCGACTCATCTTCGGAGTTCGAATATGGACCACAGGCAGATCTTGCATACTGTATGACGCTAAGACGAAGCTGAGACCAAAAAGCTGAAGAGGGATGGGGATGTCCGTGAGATTCGGCCAGCAGAAGGAGCGAGAGTTGACTTGAAGGCCGAGGCCGTATCCGCGCAGCAGCAGCTACGCGTAACTCAAAATATGCATTCAAGATTCGTGATTTACAATTTGGATGTATAATAATAATATATGTACCAGTACATCATTATTACACGGGCCGGCCACAGCAGCGCCGTCAGCTTAATTGCGTGCATGCCTGCGCTCATGCTGCGTGGCTACGCGGGCGGCGAAAAGAGTCACAGCTCGCACATCAGCTTTGGACTGGCGCTGACTATAAAGAGCGCGCTCAACGGTCGGGCATGCGTGAAGCGGCGGCGAGCGGCACCTCACGCTCGCGTCGCGCGGATGCAGACTCGCGCGCCCAGCATGCAGAGCACCGCGGGGCCAGCGATACGCGGGCGTCGCGAGGGGGCCGTGCTGGGAGCTGAGGCTGCTGCTGCTGGGATGCATCGATAGCACCATGCATCAGCCAGGGTATCTGTATATATATAGAGATGCGCTTGCGCGCGGCTGATGCATGCATGCCAGATGAACCTATATACCTACATCAGCGCCATGCGCGCGACAAGCGGCCGACCAGCAGCAATTAAAAGAGAGTCGAGGGATATATATATTGGAGGGAAGCACGAGCACCGCTGGCTAGCTGCTGGTACACAGCTCGGAGACGCGCGAGGAATCTTACACGTTTGTATATAATGAATGCGCTTGCGCTTGCGCATGCTGGCCACAAAGCGTCAAAGAGGAATGGCAAGCAGATGGCAGACGCGCGGACAGACTGCTGACAGCAAAAGAGGCGCGGACAAGCATGACTGCTGCTGCTGCTGCTGCTGCTGCTGCTGATGCGCATCACATGCATTTTGCTTCTGCTGCATGCGCATGGTGCCAATGCTGCGATGAGGCCGCGCTGCCGCGACAGCAGAACAATTAAGCGGCCTCCGTCGGTGCGCGCGTGCCCAACTTTTGGGCTGTTGTGTGACTGTGACTGCTGCTGCTGGCTGCTGGCCAGCTGCTCCGCTGCTTGCTGTGCTGTGCTGTGCTGTGCTGTAGCGGTGTCGGTCGTCATACGTACTCAATTGGATCTCGATCCTGGCCCCGCCTAGACGCGCGCAAACACGCGAGTTTGCCGCACAGCAGAGTCGCGGGTGTGTTTCAATTAAGGGAGAGGGAGAGAGGGTTTTCGAGCGAGACGAGACGAGATGCACAACACTTGCGCGCCGAAAACCCTGATGGCCGTGGCGACGGCCTTGCTGATGTATGTGTATGCTGGGAGAAGGCAAGAGCCTAGGCAGGCAAGCAAATTGACCTTGACTTGGCATTCACGATTGAATTGAGCAGATTCACAACTGTATGCCCTCCCTCACTCACGACTCGCGAGCTCCCTAGTCACGATCGAACGAGGCGTCATCGTATCGGCATCACTACACCAGCCATCCATCTCGCTCTTGCTCGATACGCAGCTCATCCGCTCGAAATCGTCGCTCCCACACCTCTTCATTCTCCGCACGATCTTCACGCTTGGGGGCTTCGCCGCGCTTCTGCTCTCTGTGCCCACTGCTTCATCCTCAGAGCTACAGGCCGTTCGCCATCAAGTTGCCCTGAGGCCGCGAGTGACGAGCAAGCGCTCTCAGCGCGATCATTGTCCCCTCGCCAGAGCACGGACAGCATTTGCGACTTGACCCCCGCCCGTCCAGCCATCTCCTAGTCAGGACGAGTACTGTCTTGATACAGCACGCAAAGGTTGACCAAGGGATTCGCGCCCTCAAGCCCAACATTGTTCGAGCTGCTCGCTCACCAACGTCTAACTTGACAACCTGCCGACTAGCCAGACACCTGCGATTCTTCTCTGGCCCTTCGATAGCGCGACTCGTTGACCATTGGCGAGGTGAGTGGGATGTGCAGGTCATCGTGCTCGGACTGCGCGGGTCCTTCAAATGAGCTCTGGTGAAAGAAAAGGGAACTACAAGAGAGGTTCAGAAAGAGCATTGCGCAGAAGATGCGCCATGACATTCGCTCTGGCCAAGCATTCGCACAAGTCCCATCCTAGCGTCATCGCAGCGGCGCTTGCCAGCCTGCATATCGCAAGATTCTGACTAGCTTTCGCTTTCGTGAGCTTTCGTACTTGCCACTTCTGTTAGGGCTGATTTGCGGGGGCAATGACTCTTTCCCGGACTCTGAACGCAATCTTGGTCGCATTACATGGTGCTTACAAAGCTTCGTACTCCTCACAGAACCTGAGCTCACCTGCTCGCTGAATAGTCGGCGCTCTTCGCATTGCGTTGCTCGGCATGGCATTCAATCTTGCGTCCCTCTCAGCATTCTTTGGTGGCGGCGGCAACGCGTCCGGCTCTAGTTCTGGTAGCCGAAACAAGCGAACCAACTTCGGTTCGGGTCTGCCTTCGTCCAGCAGACGAGGACCTCCCGGCAAGCTTGATCATTTTGAAGACGACAGCGGTGCTTGGTCCCTGCCGTATACCCAACGATACGGTGGCCCAGGAATGGTCACGTCACCCACAAACAATGGGCATTTCAGCCCCACATCTGCTCACCCTATGGCAGGCGGCGCTGCAGATGCTAATGGGGTCGGCAGTGCATACCCGCCGACTCCGAACACTGGCAGATCCTGGTCAGGCGGTAACGGAGGCGCCATGGACTTGAATGCTGCAACCAGCGTCACTGCTCTTGGTTCAACGCTCGGAAGGCCCTCAGTCGACGCCAGCTTCTCTGCAAACGTCTCCATCCCCTCTACAGCTTATCCTCCCTTGCGCCACACTTGGAACAGGATCCGCGCTTGGTGCGACGTGCACTACGATGAATTGGGCGACACACTCAATTGGCCCGCTTTGGACGCCGATTTGGATGAATTGGAGTTCACGATCGGCTTCGCACTACCTCCCGCGGTGCGGGACAGCTTCTTGTGTTACAATGGACAAGAACTCGAGTCTAACCAGAGCTGCTCGGATGGTCTCTTCTTCGGCTTGCCCCTTCTCAGTCTTGAACAGATCGCAGAAGAATGGAAGTTCTGGCGAACCGTCGACGAAGACCCTTCAGCCGGTGCCAACGACGAGGTCAAAGGCTGGATGACCAGTTGCCCAGCAGGATGGGTCCGCTCCGAGTACAGCTGCAGAGGGTGGCTGCCCCTGATCACAGATCATGTGGGAAACTACGTAGGAGTAGATCTCAGCCCTCCCGCTAGCGGCGGTGGCGCCCCCGGGCAGGTCATTCTTTTTGGGAGGGACTTTGACACCAAGGTGGTGCTCTGGCGTGGCGAGGGTGAGGGAGGATGGGGTCGCTTCCTTCAGTTTATCGCTGAAGAGCTCGAGAGCGGAGACATGTGGAGCCTCGAGGCGCAAAGTCAGAGCAGCGATGACGAGGAAGATGGCATTGGCTACGAGAGCTACTTTTCCAACGGCGGCTCCGGAACAGGCAGAGGCGGCGGTGACCGTGCTGGTGAAGGAAGCGCTGGCTTCAGGCTCCGAGGCGACTACAAGGGCTGGCCAGCGCTCGAAGCGTGGGCAGATCGATCTATGCGGTGCTGGGAGGAAGTTGGCCTGACAGCTGGCTTGCCGGCCTGGCAGCTGCAAGAGACGCCCAGTGTCCGCCTAGAAAGTGTTGAAGAATCCCAGCGAGTCAACGAGCATGGAGAAGCGCTCGATGCAGGTAGCAGCGGCAGTGTCAACGCACGACGAATGTCTCCGCTCATCGAGCACTCCTCAGATGCCGAAGGCGAGCAAAACCATCCCCTGGCCGGCTCAAGTGCCATGTCTCCAGATTCTACACGATCGGGCGAGACTGTCACACAATCTGACTCTGCCTCTTACATGAACGGCAACCCCTCCATCGATGCACCGCGTCAATATGGCGACATGCTTTCACCGCCCTTGCCTTCTACCAAAGCCTCGCGCTCCAAGCAGAAACAGCGCGAGACTGCTTCTGGAGATCCGAAACCACGCCGCAATCCCCCTCCACCGGCCGCTGCTCTAGATCTTCCCACTATTGACGACGTTCGCGCGGCTCACGCGGCAGCCTTGGCAATGTCTTCCACTGGTGGTAACTATCATTTCGACATAGAGCGCAGTCGCCCTCCGCCAGGATCAGGAGGTGCAGGCATGGGAATGGGAATGCGAAGCTCGCCTGTCGTCTCTGGAAATGGCAGTGGCGAGTGGTACCGCGATCGGCCAAGTCGGTCGCACCTATCAAGAGTTGCCAACCAAAGCGGAGATGATGGTCTAGAGATGGATGCGCGCACTTCTTCCGACGTTCTCAATCCTCAGGATCCTGCAAGCGCAAGCGTCGTGACGCTTTCTGATGTTGTTATCGATGGAACCAACAACTTGAGTGCCACAGCCTTGGCCAGTCCTCGTCTGTCAAGCTCTTCAAACTCTGGTGGTAAACCAGCGCCGCGCACGCTTCTAAGCAATGGAGAGCTGCCATCGTTGATCGATACAGGCTCAGCTCCAGCGTCACCTGCTCTGCGGTCCGGCTCGACGTTTGCGGCGCAGCAAGGAAGCGCGCTCGCCTCTGCGACAAGCAATTTTGGCGAACGAAGCAGCTTTGCGCGAAGTGCGGACAGTCCCACTAGGGTGCCTCCGCCTGCTGTGAAGAGCCCGCCTCATTCTCGCACGAACAGCATCCTCGGCACCCCTCGTCTCGAAAGCCCTTCCATACTACCTCAAACCGCACAGTAGGCGATCTTTGGCGTGGTGCCATCCGGTGCAGCTGTACCGGAGCGCGCGCACTTCTGAAATCTTTCAATCCGCATCATCCAACCCGACATGAACAGTCGCGGCGGTTGCCCTGACAGCTGCGCCATGATGACGAATCCCCATCCAAGCCCTTGCCCCCTTTCGGATCATTGACAATTGCACGCGCACATCATGAATCTTTTCCCGTCTTCCCGATCAATCCAATCATAACTTTGGCCCCTGCTCTTTTCCAAATGGCACCAGATCTCCTGCCGGCTCGGCTGAGAGACGTGAATGGAGTGCGCGCGCATTGCTATTGAAGATGTAGCTTGGATCTAGGTCTGATGCGTTTGTGAGTGGCAGAGAGGTGTGTAAGGGGGAGGAGCGAGGAACAGAGCGATAGGAGAGGGGAAATCAGTCAGAGTCTTCGAGATCGTCTTCTTCGCGCCTACGGCCGCCCAGACCATAGGAAACGTTTGCTCTGGCAGAGACGGATTGACGTGCGGATTGTGCGCGACTGGTCATCTGCTGAGATGTGGTGGATTTGTTTTGCGCGATGGCGGGCGATGATGGTGCGTGGCTAGCGTTTGCGGGATGTGCTGCTTCTTGTTGTTGCTGTTCTTCAAGCCGCCTAGCAAATGCATCTAGGTCCGCATCATCATCGTCCTCGTCCTCGTCCTCATCGGCACCTTCCTCCTCTTCATCATCCTCATCCTCATCTTCGTCGTCTTCATCGTCTTCCGCCGAATCGTCCATATCGTCGTATGACGTCATGTGAATGTGACTGCTTGCAGGTGGAACCCAAGCTGCAGCACCGCTCGTAGGAGGAAGAGGGCTGTGTGCCAAGCCGGGCGTTCGAGCAGGAGAAGTGGGGCTAGAAGTTCTGGTGACTAGACCCAAACCCAGACCCAAGCCAGAAGCATGACCCGCATGCACAGAAGCGCTTGGTCCCGCCAATGGAGCAAGATTTGCTGCTGCAGGACTGCCAAGTAGATTGCTGGCAGCGGAAAACGAAGTAGCAACTTCTGGTGCCGATACGCCGCTTGGATCGACATGCAAGCTTCGTGGAGTGGTGCCTGGCGTTTGCACACTTTCATTGCGCAGCGCAGCGATGGCGGGAAGAGGCCTCACTGCGCTCGTGGTCCCGGATGGAGATCCAGAAGAGGACTGTTTGCCAGAGTCGGAATGACGCTGTGAGGATGATGCAGATGCTCGATCGAGAGCTTCTGCAAGCTGCTGGGCCAAGAAGTCCTCATCATCATCATCTTCTTCTTCTTCTTCTTCTCCTTCTTCTTCTTCTTCTTCTTCTTCACCATCCTCCACGGCTTCTTGTTGTCCCCCTCCTATACGTGCGCCGGGCTCCGCTTCGCCAACTCGATGCTCGGAAGCTATTGACGTCGCGTCGCGATTCTGCTCTGGCGACGCGTCTTGATGCCTGGAAGAGTGCTCGTTGGAGGACATGCGTCGTGTCACTCTTCGAGGCTGCTCGTGGCTCGCTCTGGCATGGGCATCGGATTTGGCATTGCGCGCTTCTTCCAACTTGGCGCTTTTGGCTGGTCTCTCTCCAGCAACACTTGGCTGCGATTCGCGACCACGTCTGCGCGTACCCGAAGGTGGTTCTGGCGACAAGGATAAGAGCTGCTGCGCACGTTCGGACAAGGTTGTAGCAGAGCGGTCGTGCTTGAGACTGTACGTGCACGCAAGCGGCGAGAGCACGTAGGTCTTGATGTGGATGCAGAGCTGGAACGGTAAGCCTACGCGCTTCTTCCGAGCAGGAGAGGGCGACTGTCTAGATGCACTCACTCTGCTTTCAGGATCCCAAACAGCGACAAACTCCACTTCTTTGCCTGGCGTGCGTTCGCCGGTGAAGCGCGAAGCTTTGGATTGAGCATTGGACGTTGCATCGTTGGATGGAGCAACGATTTCAAGAGTCCAAGAGGAAGAATTTGCAGCGCTTTGTGCGTAGAGTGCACCAGTGGAGGAATTCGGATGAGGTGCCGAAGAAGGTCTAAAGTTCACTGTATTGAGGGCGTGGGAATAGTGTTGGTGTGATTTGAGCCGAGCTTTCCACGCGATAGCGACAGGAATCAGAGATTGCGTCACTCACACTTGACGGACGCGTGAGCTTCGGCAGAGGCTGTCGCCAAGCGCAATGGGTAGACTGGGTAGGCCGACAAGCGCGGATCGTTTGCGTTGGAGGCCGACTGAGATTGGCGCCTCGTGAGGGGCGCTGCTTCTCGATTGTTGGACATCTTGCGATTGTGGCTGATCCAGCGAAGGATCACCGCTGCGCGTCTGGCAAGGAGTGAGAAAGGTCGATCTGAGTGATCGCTTGATGGAATGAGTTCTCAGAGCAACACTTTCTTGATGAGCGTTGCTGTACCGCGAATGATGGAGGTTGCTGCGTGCGCATTCAATCCAAGCTGAATACTTTGTTCAACCTTCCGATCTTCCTTCCCCTTCAAAGCTTGCACGCGTTGAATAATCAATGGTCAACGTCTCGTGTGTGTGCCCAAATCTCTTCAAAAGTGGCATGTACAGAGCGAAGTAGGGATGGCCTCGGAAGCTATGCGAAGCCTATACTCACGACTTGTCGTGATGGTCTTGGACATGGAAGCATATATGCGAGATCGAGCGGGGGACCGGTTATAGCGAATCTGAATGCAGCGCGCAGTCACGAACGAATTGGACCATTGCAGCCAAAGATGCATGCAAGGCGTATCATTGATGTGATATATTGCATGCATGCATGCATGCATGCGACAACCAAAAGTCAAAACAAAGTCGTCAGAGAGTCTGTGAGTCGTGAGTCTGTGAGTCTGATGAGTGTTGTATGTCACGATCGAGTCACGAGTCGCGAGCCCGTGTCACACTTTGACGTGTAAGACTGCTCCAAGCAGCCACCCATCCTGAAGGGATTTGTATGGCATTTATGGATCGGTTGTCATACGTATACATTTTCAATTTGAGTCCGCAGCGCGGTCTGAGTCGAGTGCTGGCGATCGACGGAATAATGAGCAGAGCCGCGCTTAGACGTCCAGCTAGCTAGCTGTTGATGATTTATCAGTCAAACAAGCGATGGCCAACTCGTGACTGCTGATGCATATATGCTGATGGCTCGAGCACAGCCACGCATTCTTGATTTGCAAGTCGGCGCGCGCAAAGTCATGTTAAATCACGATCGAATATAACCGCCAACTGTGACTCGTGACTCGAGCTTGAATCAGAATCTTGAATCACTTCGACGCGTGACTGCACCGCCACGCACGCGCGCAATTACAAAAAGTCACAACAGTCTGATTCTTGATTGCCAAAGCGCAATTCACAACAAATCATCACCAACTCTTCGTCGACTCAAGACTCTTGACTTAAGACTCTTGACTGGTGGCCATGCATGCAATCAGATCTTGAGGAGTCATTCAAAGGCTTGAAGTTAAATTCAAGATTTTGTGAGTCTGATCGAAAAGTCACGATTGAGTCTCGAAGTCTGAACCAACAATCACGATCACGTGAATCCTGAATCGAATTACCGCGCACGACCGCACCATGAAGGATGCAGCGGGAGTATGCGTATAAAGTCGCGAAGAGGAGTCAGTCAAAGTGGTCGGCCGGATGACTCGTGTTGATATCTTCGCGAATACAGGTCAGTCTTGAGTGGATGAAGTGGATTGTCATCACAGATCATGTGAATTGCAATCACGAACCGACAGGAGCAGAGTGAGTCTACGAATTGAAGCGAAGAAATAAGAGATCCAGCGGGATCTGTGCGTGCCTACATACGGAAGGCGACGATGCTGCCCATATTCGCTTCTTAATTCTTGCTTCGGACTTGTTCCTCATCCCTGAGATCCGTGGAGATTGAGAGCTGTATTGACTTTCAATCAGATTTAAAAGATTGCATGGGAGATGTGGTTTTCCAATTGTGCACATACAGAATACAAACTGCGTCGTTCCTGCGCTGCTGCGATGCGTGCTGCTTTGGGTTCAGCTGGACTTGCTGGTCTATTCGTGACTCTTCAATTGTGCAGCGTGCATGCGCAGCTAGCTGCACATGCTGGCTGCTGGCTGCTGGCTGCTGTCCGCAAGGCACGCCGGCAGCGGGGTAGTGCGTGCATTTGATGCAATCGTGAAATCACGAATGCTCCTCCGTTGCAGCACTCATCAAGACTTGCAGGGGCAGCTAGACTCCTATAGCTATATAGCTTATACTCGTGAGTGAACCACAATAAATAGAACTGTCCCACTGCTGCTGCAGCGCTCCTGCTGCATGCATGCATGCATGGAAGCGACCGGCAGAGAGCTGCTCTCGACTCCTATGCCCTGTAGACATGGCTGATGCTGCCGTGTGGTGCATACATGGCGTGCATATCAGGAAGACGCCAATTCAGACTGCTGCACGCGTTGGTGTAGGGACGGCGAGATTGTGATTGGTGATTGATGGATGAGCTTGGGAGCAGCTATCGTCAACAATGCGAATGGACGATCGAGCAGCTGAGGGGAATGCATCAGCAGCGTCCAGTCGCAAATTGACGCGTTCATATGGCAAGCTTGGCGTTTAGCGTAGGCTAGGCTACTCACACAACTGCATGTGCATCATCGTACCGCTCCCGAATATGCTTACATCCAACTCACCAGTCGATTCCATCCATCGTCTCCTCGCGATCATCATTTGCGCAGACCATTGACATTCGAAACCACTTTGGAACTTCTCCTAAATGCGCATTGTATTCTCCGAGGCAATTCTCCGCGCGCACATCGAATCGCACCAAGTATTACACGGCATCGCTGGTCGACGAGCCGACGCACCAAGAGAGAGAGAGAGGAGCGGGGCACGCATCGCCAAAGGTGTCCTCACAGGCTCAACATCCTCGTACCTGTCTTTCACCAACGTCATCGATCGACCCTCTTCCTACCGCTCATTCGGCCCCGTTCTCGCAGGCTTGCTCCCTCTTAGCCGGTCATCGCGCAAGCTGGAAAAGCCACCTTCAGGACCATGCGGTTACACTGACGGGGCAAACGTAGGATCCAAGCCCGTCTCCTCAACCTGCAGCTTCTGACCTCGCATCGAAAGGCTCCTAGCCCATTCAACGGTCTTGCTGTCAGGCGATTCACGTGTCAGAGTCTAAAAGTTGCTGGAGCGTAGCCGCGGAGCAGGAGAGGCCCGTGGTCAATCACCCGCTTAATTCGCACGAAGATGAGCTCCTCAACCTCCACCCCTGCGCGATCTATGCCACCAACATCTTCATCTGTGGTGCGCGCGCGTATAGCAGCATTTGGCGGAGGCGGAGGCGGAGGCAATTCCAGTAGCTCCACCTCTGCCGCTGCTCCTGTTGCTCCTGCAACGGCGTCAAACAAGTCCGCCACTAGCGGGCGGTTTGAAGGTGTGCGAGGTACGGCCGGGAATGCACGGCGACCCTTGCGACCACCGCCCATCAATGTGCAAGCGGCAGAGGAGGCTGAAAGTTCGAAATCGAGGAGCGCCCCTGGTACGTCGAACAGCGCAAATGGTTCGGTCGCCGATTCAAGGCCCGTTCCTGGCAGTGCCGCATCGGCGCCGGCATCGGGAACCAACAACCGTTTTGGTCTCGGCTCTGGCTCGTCCAGTGAAAGCCTGAACTCGCCTGGCAAAGCTCAATGGACACGCACCGCCGCAGGCCCCACCCACTCTAGCTCGAAAGCTTCACCGCCGGTCGCTTCCGCCAACAGTCCTCTGGCTGCCGCTCTCAAAGACAGGGAGAGGAGGGAGCAAGAGAGAGCTGGCGCGCTGAAGAAATCTTCTTCTTCAGACGCACTGCGGGCAGCAACTTCTCCTCAATCCAAGTCTCCTGCCTACTCCTCTTCTGCTCGCGACAACGGCGGTACAACAGAGAGCGGACCCCCACCCTTGCCGCCACCGAAACCTTACCCGCCTCAGCTGGACGCTTGGCAACCGCCACCTACTCCCTTCTCCTTCTCGTTTGAGGGCGAGCAGCCTGCGAGACCGCCTTCCACCTTTGTGGATCAGAGCACGCAGACCCCGCCTATCTCGCCAAAGATTCGCCCAAAGGATGCCCGAAGGACTTCCAAAGGCAGCGCCTCTTCATCAGCCACTCGCAAGAGGAAGTCCGCCGCAAAGGAAAAGTTGGATGTCAAGTCGAAAGCGGTGACCTCCGGCAGTAGTGGGAACGAAAAGGACACGGAGGACAGCGACGACTTGGTTGTAAAGAAGCTAGCTGCCATCGATCCGGACACCTTCCCCTCGCCTGGCAAAGGCGACGCTAGCGAAGCCGCTAGCCTAGATCTTAGACTGAATCGGAGCGACAGCGTAATGAGCACCGCCAGCAATCATCACCTCTCTGCAGTGGTCTCTACGGCGATAAGACGAGTTGCAATTTCCAGGCCTGAGAATGGTGCAAGAATGACGGCATCAAATACGAATGGCGAAGTTGGCAGTGCGCAATCCAGCGCAAAAGGTGGTTCCGCAGAGGCGAAGCTAGCAAGCAATCAACCTGAACGATCTCCAGACATTCCCAACATTTCGCTCGTCGATCCAGGAACAGCGAGAGCTCAAGCGGAGCAGGAGTGGCCGGACGAGATTGACGACGCAGAAGCAAAGTTGAGGACACCGCTAGCTCAAGGCCAAGAGATAGAGGTGCCGAATGCGATCAGCGAGAAGTACGCAAGGTTGCAAACCCCAAGGCGTCAGACGAACGGTGCTTCGGGAGGCGCAAAGAATGCGAAAGCGTCCAGAGACGCTTCGCTTCTCAAGGTGCAGAATGGCTTGAGTGCGGCTGGAGCACCGGGCGATCGAAGCAACACGCCAGGCTTGTCAAGACTACGAGGGGACAGCTCCCATAGCTCTACAAGCGGTGTCTCCGATGTTTCGCGGGATCATTCAAGCAGCATACGTAGCTTCGGTAGTGGTCGACTCTTCTCCTCCAAACCCACCCCGATCGACACTGCTCGTGCAGCAAAGGGCAGGGCTAATGGGCTTCACGTGCTGAGCTCTTCGACAGTCGCCACGCCGTCAAGCGATTCGTCGCACGCTTCCTCTTCTCCACGGCTCGGACTCGCTTTGCTGGCGAGCGGACCAACGCATCACAGTCGCAAGCCGTCTTCCCTGTCGCCCAATCCTTTGTACGCTCCTCTTCCGGATGTGAGCCCTAGGTCGCAGTTCGCAACGCTGGCCTTGCCCACGGATGGCGCCGATCCATCGGGCTCTGCGTCCGGAGCGCAAACAGACAAGACGGCTCGACGGCCGGGGGGCAGACCAAGAGCTATGTCTCGAACCAGCAGCGTTGGCGGTCTGAGTGTGATTGCCTCTAGCTGGGGTGGGCTGACTTCAGCTGGTCTAGATCCGCTTTCGGAGGAATGGGGCACCTCCATTCACGACGAGAGCGGCGGCTCTCCCTCTGCACATTCTGCCCGTCCGATCTCATCCTCCTCTCGATCACATTTGCGAAGACCTTCCAACGTCTCGTTCAGCGCCCGGTCACAAAGGTCCTCCGTAGGTCCGCAGTCCGCCAATGGAATCGCACCTAGCAAGGACGCCCTCATCACTGCTTTGTTGGCTGATTCGGCCATCGTGGATGCTCAAGCATACACCAACATCGAGTCGCTGGAGCACGTGGAGCAGCTGAAGAAGGAGCTCAGGCTTTTGGAGCGCAAAGCCGAAGCTGCCAAACACAAATTAAAGGTGGAGCAGCGTATGCGGGATGCCACAGCGAAGCTGCAACGCACTGCAGGCGGGAAAAGGGATGCCATTACTAACGCCCGAGGCAAGTGCGATGTTGATGGCAATCCTTTGGTTGAACCTGAGTCGCCGAGCACGCCCCTGGTGCGCACGCCGGGAGGGCAGACTGGTGGCGGGGCAGCTGACCAGCTCATCAATGCTCAAGATCGCGTTGATGCTGTCACGCGCGAGTTGCTTAGCGTGTACGAGCAGATGGATCACTTGCGCCGCCGCTTGCTAGAGCATCAGGCAAGTGTACTCGCTTGCCGCGTCAAGGACCTTGAAATGGCTTCAAAGGAACAGAGTGAAATACTAGTCCAAACTTTACATGAACACGAGCAAGCCGGGCAACTGGATCGCGATCAGGACAAGACGGAGGAGCTGGAGTCTCGGCTCGAGGAGCAGGCGTCGGAAGTCATCAGGAGCAAAAGTCGCAGCGACGAGCTGCAACGCAGACTCGACACCAGCGAAAAGGCCCTCGAGGTCCTCCGAGGCCAAATGGAACTTGTCAGCGCCGCGGCAAAGGATGCCGAGATGAGATCGAATCAGCGACGAGACGCAGAGGTTGCTCGACGCCAGACGGACGCTGCTCTGCGCAACGAGCTTCAAGCTGCAAAGGCGTCAGTTGAGCGAATGGAGCGCGAACTTGAGACCGAGCGCAAAGCTGCTGTCGACCGGGTTGTAGAGACGAGCGCGGAGGTCAGTGCTCTGATTCAGCGCGCTGAAATTGCAGAACGCTCGCTTGAAGAGGAGCGCAAGAGGCCAAAAGGTTCATCTGTGCCCGATGCAGAATTCGAAGCATCTAAGAAAGCTCGCCTCGAATCTGAAGCGCTCGCCGCAGAACGGCAACGCGAGATAGAGAATCTAAAGGCCGACCTGGAAGGCGCACAGCAGCACCGACTCGACCTCGACGCCAGCACCGTTAGGAACAAGACGCTCGAGCAGCTGCTGTCACGAGAAACAGACCTGCGTGGCAAGGCGGAGCAAGCGCTCGCGCAGTCCACTGCGAAATTCTCCGAAGTTGAGAAGCAGCGTGCAGCTCTGAAGACTAGCGAGACTGCTGTTTCCAAAAAGCTCTCGAACCTAGAGATCGAGGTGAGCGCAGAGCGAAAGCTCATGTCGGACCGCGCCGAGCTCTTCGTCGCATTCGAACGAAGGCTCGAAAGCGCCGAGCGCCGACTTCGTAAGGAAGACGAACGGTGCGCACGTCTCCTTGGCAAAGACGAAGGCCGGGAAGAGATGGACGACTTCCTGGCACAGATCAAAGGACTCGCCTCAAACAAGAAGGCGAAGACTGCCGGTCAAGATATCGACGGTCTGATCACCAGCATGAGCACGCATATTTCTGACATGGCTGACGAGCTCCAGCGACTTGGTAGCAGCAGCGCGGGCGAGTCTTTGGATTCGGCAGCTCAAAGTGGCGGCTTCAACTCGGGCGCTGTTAGGAAGCTCGAAACGGAGCTGCAGATTGCGGAGCACGACCTCGAGCGCTGGAAAGTCGAAGCAGAAAGTGCGAAGCGTCAGCTCGCAGTCTTCCAGCGCCAAAGCAGCCTGAGCGCTGCAGGCTCGTCATTCGATCGACATTCTCGACTGAGCTCGGGAACTAGCGACAGAGCGCGACAGGTCCAGCACGAGCTCGAAGCTCGTATCGCCCTGCTCGAGAAGCAGAATCGAAGGCTCGAAGAAGATTTGGCCGAGGCGCGCATGCTCAACATGAGCGGAAGTGGACCAGCTAGCCCTGTCAAAGTGGCGGGAAGCGAGGCCGAAGGTGAACAAGTCTTGCAGCCGAGCCTCCAAAAGGTCAATCTCGAGCTCGCGGCCTGTCGCGCTGCTCTAGCGAAGATCACGCCGATGCTTTCGGAGAAGGTTGATATCGCCGACCTCGCTGGCTCGAATGCGAGGCTGCAATTGTTGCGGGCCGCCTTTGAGCCTTCGTCCCAATCGTCTGCAAAATCTCAAGGCAGTTTGCTGTCTCGGGATAGCACCGAAGAAGGCTCTGACGTCGGCAAGGACAACCCCGAGATGCTCGTCGACCGCATTCGCAAATTGATCAACGTGGGTCGAATTGTGGTCGATCGCGCGACAGCATTGGAACAGTCTCGAGACCAGCTTCAACAAGACGTGAAGCGTCTGGAAGCGAGGTGCAAAGAGCTTATGCAGACACGAGAACGGGCCACCAACAACAGCAGCGCGCTCAGTCGAGCTCGCGAACGTAAGCTGTAAGTCTGAGGCAGGCACCAAAATGTCGCCCTCATCGCTGCTTCCATCAGCTGACATAGCTTCGTATTGTCTGCAGAGACTCCACGCTGGCTGATCTGCAGTCCGCCATGCAGCCAGCGCCGGAGAATTTGCGCGAGAAAATCCCCGTGGCAAGCAGAGCTGCGTTGTCTAGATCTTCCAGCTCGGGATCGGTCGCGAGCTCGGCAGCAAGCATGATGCCGTCTCTGCACGTCATGCCGTCTACTTTGTCTACGCGCGGATTTGCGAGCAGGTCACCTTCCGCACCCGGTGGGCCTACCTCGGCGCCGTCGGTCGCCCCAGCGTTCAGCCCGAGCGCGAATGCTGGCCCGAATTCTGCAAACGCATTTTCTAGCAGCTCTGCCGGACCTCGCACGTTGACACTTGGCATGGACTCTACGTCGCTCGTCTCACGCGTCCGAGATCTCGAGCGCGAGCTCAGAGCGACTGTAGTCGTTCGGAAGACGGCTGAGCGCGTTCCTGAGCTTGAAAAGGAGCTCAAGAATGCTCAAGCTGCTCTGGATGAGGCTCAATCTAGAATCGAAGAGGTGCAAGAAGCGAGTAGCCGCCAGAATATCCAACTGCTGTGAGTACAGAGGTATCTCGTAGTGACGTCTGCTCCATCCTTATCGAATCCCTGCACTCCACCTCAATTCAGCGAGGAACTCAATGCCCTTCAGGACGAGTTGGCGCAAGCTCGTCTGTCCCTCCGAAAGCTACAACCTATCTCTCCCGCGTCTGATCGCGCTCTACCAGCGCTGCCGCCATTGTAGGACTCGGCATAGCTCTGCTGCTCGGCTTCATTCCGCCTCTTACCGCGCGCGCGAGATTCCCTCGAGGCCAAGCGTGCTCCCCCGACGCGCTGACATCTGCCGCATCTTTTTTTTTTTCCTCTTCTACTTCTTTCTTTGCACGCATCCTATACCACTTTGGGCCCACCAGATTACTTTATTTCTGTCTCTCTGGTTGTTCCCATCACCCACGCACCACCGTCGCTGCCCACACAAAAGCTCGCGCGACAATTGTTGTACAAAGCATCGTTCATGTCGTCACCCTTACCCGATCGCGCCGCAAAGCTGCTTTGTGCAAAGAGACACTATGTAATAGTACAGCGCTGTGCTGAGGTCTCCTGTCTGCTGATGAATGTGTCAAATGGCGTTGAGGTTGAGTAGCTGTCGCTGTCGCTCTCGCCTTCCTTGACTTTGTCGGCTCGCCGCTCGTGATGATTGCAACATCGGCAAGCCCGCGTCTTGACATGTTGCTCCGCTGCAATATCATGCCTTCTATGAGTGCACCTGGACACCTCCATCAGCCCCACCAGAGCCGATAGCAGCTTCGGCAGTCCCACCTTGTCTTGCCGCTTGCAAAACCGACAAGAAGATGGTCCAGCCCACACCGCAGAGAGATACGAACGGGACTCGGTACCTGTCGGGCAAAACGTGTGCTCGCTGATCAGCATTCGATCGTGTTTGGGCCGACAGACGTGCCTCTTTCCAAGCTCACTTGAGAGGCATGAAGCTGATGGGGGGATGCAAAAGGGGACGAGGTTAGCACAGGACACGATCGCCAGTCAAACGAGACCAAGGACTTACCGGAAGTTGATGGTTTGGATCAGGGGCCAAACTTGCCAATTTGCTAAAAGAGCGGGCCAGTACATCTGAGGCCGGCACGATCGAGGAGAATCAGGAACATTCGAGACGATTCATTATGACAGCTTCGTTGGTGCTCGCTCTTCATCTGCTTCTTTCCACCTTGTGCACTCACGCTCGAGAACTTCTCGCCGATGCCCGCCATATCTCTGCCCTCCATGAACCCCATGAAGCCGACGAAGAGTGCGAGACCGAACGGAGCACTGAAGAGAGAGAGAGTCAGAGAGAGAGAGAGATAGACGCCGTGAGATTCGGTCATTGTGAAAATTCAAGGTGGAGCTACCCGGTGCAGAATCGGAATGCTAAGGATCCGACAGCGACTTACAATGTGCCTTGGTCCACAATGACCCGCTTTCCTAGCGCCAAGAAGCTGACTTTGCCCATGTTCGCAGCTGCAGCGGTAGAGTATCTAGCTACCGCACCGCTGCCCCCTTTGCCCTTTGGACTGCCCAATTTTCCCATCTCGTGAGAATTGAGCGGCAGACCACTGCCCGTCTTTGCATGACCAGCACCCGAGCCGGTCCCACCGGTTCTCAAGGGAAATTTGAGCTCTATGAATTTGTTCCATTCGGCCAGAAGCGGAGCCATGGCTGATCCGAAAGCCAGAAACCTGGCACTGCGAGCAAGATCAAAGCCGCTGCTGCTCGATGAAGTGGTGTTGCCGCTTTTTTGCGCTTGTGACAGCTCGAAAGTCTGGGCTAGCGCATCGGCCACTACGCTGAGTCCGCCATTGGTCACTGCTAGTGTCAACCAAGGTCTCTGAGCAAACGAACGAGAGTAGAACGCTCCGAAGCGAGACATGATGCTGACGCTGGTTGATGCCGCAGAGACAATGGAGCAGAGTGCTTGGAGACGCGGCGGGATGTGTGCAGATACTCTGAGCGAAAGCACTGGAGCAAGAATGTGCAGGTATCGAGATTGCCCGTTGATGACCACAGCGCCTAGGGTATGGCGTATGGATGTCACGACTCCTTGGTCGCACCGACGAGCTTCTCGATGTGTGCGCCAAAAGATAGGGAGGTCGTCCGTGCGTCGCAGGTATGATGTATGCACCGCTATATCGACTTCAAAGGCAAAACGCGCTGCGGCCCGAGGTATCTTGAGAAATGTGTGGGCTGCGCAAGAGGTGACCTGAACAAGCGAGTAGCCGGGAGCGGGACGTCGAGGAAGGTAACAGCACCAGTCTGCGGCCAGATTGGTAAGCAGTCTGTCGATCGCAAAAGGTCTGTGAGAGCTTTCGTTCACGGGTGTAGCTGTGGGCAGCGTTGCGAAGTGAGGCCTCCGTCTGAACACCGAGTCGAGTGTGGGCTGATCAGCACTCGCACTCGTCGCAGCTGCGTGTGGGAGGCAAGTGAATGAATGAATGCTGCGCCTTGAACACGAATGGCGATCATCGTGCAGCAGCAGGAGCAGCAGCAGCGCTCGGTGTCTTTGGTGTATTCACGATTAGCTGGTGCATGGGTCTTATCCTCGACTTGCATGGCTCGAGCGCGCTGAGCGTGCGGGCCAGCTAGTCCATCACGGGAAGGTGCTGTGCGGGGTTTGGTCCGCGCTCACTAGATCGAGTTCCGCGAGCGCAACCACAACTTCAGTCAGAGTGGCAGCAGCAGCAGCAGCAGCAGCAGCGCGATGCCGAATGTTCTGCGCTACACCAAATATCTTGCAGCATTGCACACAAGACTCCTTCGCGCTTGACGCACTGTACGTGACATTGTTACAATGATGGAAGGTGCGACAAGCAAACAAGCATCACGCGGAAGCTTGGCAAAGACACGTAGCGATAACCATGGAGTCTTTACAAAGACCCACCTGCCTTGTGGCGATATTGCAGCTCTACATCGCCGCCGCTCTTCCACCAGAACCGTTGAACTTGGGCAAGCGTGACTGCGAACGAGGGAGTGAAGGTCATGCTTAGCGGCTGACGCTCCAAACAAAGGTCAATGTGTGGTCAGCAAGACTCACCATGCAGAGGTACGACTTCATCGTTGCACAAGATCTCTATCAGCTCGGTCGCATCTTGCTCAGTAGCCGTTGCCGTAGCTGACGTGGCATTCTGCGTGGCGAGTATCGCAGCCTGTGCAGACGTAGGGGGCGAGCTCCCTGCAGACCCAGAAGTCGCCTTCCCGGAGGTGGCCGAAGCAGCGGTGCTCGCACCGGACAGGCCAATAGCAGAGCCAAGAGAGCGTTTGGCACCACTGCTACCCGCGGTGCTCTTCTTGGTCTCATCACCGCCATTTGACGCCGATGCGGGAGCATCTGCAGATGCGCGCCTGGAACCAGCGATGCTGTTGTTGCGCGAATCTGTTGAGGCAATCATCTCGAGCTTCTCCGCAACATAAGCGCACGTCTTTTTGATGCGCAGCATGCGGGTTGCAGTAAGGCGGGCGTTGCTGCATAGCAGATGACGGATGAGTGTCAAGGGCATATCGCTGTGAGATGAAAGATGGGATGCGCACTCACCCGCTAGGAAGCTCAGGTAAGGTAGTGGGCAGCACAGAGCCGTTTGCAGAGGTTTGGATCGTCGTTTCGCCGCCGGCATTGTCGCGAAGCTCAGGCGCGACCCAGGGAACAAGATTGAAGCTGATCTTTGATAATGTTTGCTGAGGAGCCTTGTTGTGGAGCGCAGCATCCAACACCCAGCGCGGTGCACTTGTCTCAAGGGCAGCTACATCCGCACTTCCTGTTCGGACCAGGCCCCGATACACTATCTCCCAAGTGCCTAACGAAGAACTCGTCTCAATCAAAATCGTCGTGTCCGGCGGGAAGATGACAACGGGGACTTCGTTGAGGGGCGGAATGCTGAGCGGTTTGGTGAAGAATTGGCGCAAATTGGAGAGGTCGTCATTGGCAGACTGCGGAGACCATCCATCTTGAGCGTTTCAGCTCACTTATGATGCGGCAAACGGCGCAAGAAACCCCCCCGCACTCACCGTGTCTGATTCCTCACCAGCACCAGCGACCTTCGTCGTAGCCTTCACGTCTTGGGCGCTCGCGCGCTCGCTCTTGCTACTTTTACCCCATTTCAATCGGCTCATTAACCCAGCACCGCCCGAGACTTGATTGCTGGACGAAGCAGGTGTCTGCGGCCGAGAACTTGTTGGGGTTCTGGACTCACCAGCCGGAGCAGGCGTGTTGATGGCGGTGCTCGAGTTGGCTAGCGAAAAATAGTCGCTCGATGCTCCCGGCAGGGTCGTCGCCAAAGGGGTCTGTGCAGAAGCGGAGGCGAGAGCCGAGAAGGAGCTCGTCAATCCGGCGATTCCTCCTCGGCTCGCCGTCGGAGTGAGCGGGGAAGAGTTGGTGGCCAAGATGGCTGGCGATCTGGCAGGTTCGGCAAGCGCGATGGTCATGCCTGGCGTGTGAGGAAAGTCACGCTTTGCAAGGCCCTGATGACCGTGAGGTTGAGTTCGCGGGATGCTGATACGAAGTGGCCCAGCTTGCATCACCTCGGGCCGCTCGGCGGCCAAGACGCCCTCAGGGACCAAAGGTGTGGCAGTCGAGCGCACGGAAGTTTCTGTCTCTACGAACGACTTGAGCAAGCTGCGCAGCACCATCTTGCCGACATTGACTAGGGCACGTGCTTGATTCAGCGGACGATTGCCAGCCGAACAAAGTGAGACGAACGACTCACCTCTTTGGTCCTCGCGAAAGACCGACGGATCCAGAAAAACCGCTTCGTCGGCGTAAAGCTCCGCATCGAAAGTCCGCTGTTCTTCCAGATGCACCGACAGCAGACCGCCCCGTACATCCACGTTGCACCACAGTGGTGCCGTTTCTTCCCCTTCGATCCTTTCCTTCACAAGACTCAGAGCCTCCGCAGGAGGTAGCCTCGAGATCGAGGCGGTCTGCGTGTGTTTGTAGTCGCTTGAGTCCGAGGCATCGCTCGAAAAGCCGTCTTGATGAGCGAGCAAAATGTCGTCGGGTCTGAAGGTACCTAGGCAAGCCCCGCGCACGATATCCCAGAGCGCGACCACATCAGCAGTATCGATGGTGAGAACGTGGCGTCGGTCATTCAGAGCCGAGGTTCTAATAAGTCCATGCGTGCCTTCGATTACGCTCTCGGGCTTCTTGAGAAGCGGTACGGCCTCAACCGCAAATTCTCGATCCTCGTACCTCTGCCTCGCCTCGAGAGCAGCTTCTTCGACAGCATCTTCGTCGTCACTGTCAGATGCCTCGTCCACGACATCGTCTTCCCACATGTCGTCATTGGCGAGACCAGCTGCACTTCCGCGTGGGAGACGCTCCGCTTCAGGCGCGAACCGAATGCTTGCGGATCTTGTACTTTTGGGCCGATTGAGAGGCCTGGACGGTAGGTGTAGGTGTGCAGGAATGGCACTGGGGCCAGGCGACTGGCGCGAGTCGTAGGACAGAGAAGGCCTTCCGGATGGGAGCGCCGCACTGCTCCGTCTGGCAGCGAATGCCGAGTGCGAGGAGTATACATCTGGATCGCGAACGCTGAGACTTCCCAACCCGACAGAGGCGCCGTAAGGATCGTTGGCTGGGCTCAAACAAACGAGGGAATCGAACGGAATGCCGAAGAGCATTGCAGCTGGATGCACACTGTCAGTGCTGGTGGCGGAAATTGTCATCTCCTTCCCTGTTGCGGCGCCATTAGAGGCCTTCATTGCGCCTTCAATGCTTCCAAGCGATGCATTGGAGTGAGAAGACCTATGGGTGCGCGTTGAAACTCCACTTGCTTGACGAGGTAGAGATTTGGCGTCGAATCGGAGACCTGGACCTGGCGAATCGTGTCTGGACCTCTGCGCAAAGGAGACATTTGGAGAGGGCGCGGAGCCTTGAGAAGAATGCTTGAGGGCGCTTGGCCTCCGTAAGCTGAGGCCGCTTTGAGCTGACGCAGGCGGTGTCGAGACAGCGGGAGCAGGAAAATCGGCCAGAAGGCCTGTTGATGACTCTGTAGCTGGGCCTTCGATAGGATACAGTGCTTCTCTGGACATGCGGGATGGCACGTCTTTCCATATAGAAACGTCGGAAGACCCACCGGCTGTCCAAACATATGTGTTATCTTGAGCGATGATCTTGTGGATGCCGACATGGGTCCTATTGGTGCCGTTAGACGCGCGACCCCTCGAGCTAGCTCTGTTGGTGCCGGCGTCTTTGAAAAGGACCACGCACTCTCCTTCTGCCACCTCTGCACATCTCTCCCAGTCCACCTTGCAAACCAATCCAGACCGATCGCCTGAGTAGAAGACGTCGAGGTTCGGGTGATCGGAGAAGAGGCTCCAGACGCTTTCGGAATGATGTGTGAACGTGTGCAGGCATCGACGCTCGCCAATGCTCCACAGTCGAATGGAAGAGTCGCTTGATGCGCTCAACAGGTGTCGCCCATCTTCAGACACCACTAGGCTCCGCACATTGTCGGTATGTCCGATCAGCGAGGCTATCTCTGCGCCGCTCCTCGGATCCCAAGCTCTGACAACCTTGTCTGGCGTGCCGGCCGAGATGACACTACCAGCTGGATTCGCCGAGAGGGCATACACGGAGGCTTTCACAGCGCTCTCTGCCAACTCGATAATGGGCTCAGGTCTAGTCTCCTGAATATCCCAGAGCTGCGACCCACCAGAGCTAGAGATCAGCTTGACATGAAGCTCAAGAAGTGGAAAAGGGGACGAAGACGCACCTTGATCACGGAATCAAAGCCACCGGAGGCTACCCAATTTGCTTCGCGGGCGTGGGATAGGGCTCGAGCATAGTCACGATGACTGCCTAGGACCTGAGGTGTCATAGAGCTCCGAAAGTCGTGCGGATTCCATACCTGAAGCGTTCCATCTGAGCCAGCAGAGACGACTGTCAACACCAACATATTTTGGTTGGTACATCAGCGGGAGCCAGCAGATCAAGTTGAAGCAGCGTGTTGGGACTTACCGGTCTGATTCGAGTTGCAGAGCAGGATATCGTTGATCCAGTCCGTGTGGTTCTGCACGCACTGTCTGAAGCGAGGCTGCGGAAGCGGCTCATCTCTTCGCGATGGATCCACTTGCCAGTGCTGCTCCACTGGGGTCTCGCTCTCATCGACTTCATCTTCTAGATCAGACGCCAGTCCCGAAGCGCCGGGCACATGATGCTGTGCAACACACTGAATGTCGTCGCTGTCTCGTTCTCTTTGTGCTCCATCGCGCAGCTCGTCATCCCACGCTGCCGCTCTCTGCCTGCGCCGCTTCCTGAGCGGCAAGCCGAGCTCCCAAGCCGCGAGCAGGCCATCTCGCCCACCAGTATAGAGGATGCCGCGCGGTGTATGCTGCGAGGTTGAAGCCATTTCCTGGTCCTGCACGGATGTACTGACATCCAACGCGAGAGAGGTGACCGGCAGCGTGTGACGTGGATGGGAAGGTCTGCCACTCTCTTGGAATGTAAAGTTTGAGCGAGCTGGTACCGGAGTGGAGGGGGGCAGCTGTTCCAAAAGCGGTTGACTCCTGCCTCGGCGCTGAAAGCTGGACTGTAGCGATGGGATCGCAAATTCTGGCAAAGTATCGTCTCGAGGTGGCAGGCTGTAGGTCAGCCTTCTGGCTGCAGTGGCCGCCATATTTGCCGACTCGAGGAGAAGATCGATCCCGAGCGCTGTTGTCCACTTGTCGACTGGGCCGCCAGAGGTACTACTGGCAAGGGCGCTGATTGCGCTGATCAACCTCGCATCAGTCTCGTGAGGTTCTGACCAGACTCGTCCTCGAACCGAGAGCTTGTCTCGTCCCTTGGCAGTCAAGAGGTTGAAATTTGAGAGATGGACGATCCGTCTTCGCTACGATGACTTTACAAGACATACCGTCAGCACGATACGCATCTTGTGATCCTCTCTGTCGGTCACCGTCACGTTGCTGCTGGAGATATGGCGTCAGGTACCGCGCTTGCACGAGGCGGTGACAAGCACGGTAGCGTGGGTCGTGGTACTGCAGTGCTGTATCACTATGCAGCTCCACGTTGGGCATGCTGCTCCTGCTGCTGCCCGCGTGCGTGCGTGCGTGATGCATGCTGTGCCCCGCCTAACCACGGAATCGTGGGCTCCGTCTCAACCGCAAAGCGCAATCACGAATCACGAATAATCACGAAGAATCACAAAACCTGCATGCTGATAGAGTCGTTGCACATACGGTGGTGGTGTACATCGCAGTCGCAGCGTGCTGTGCACGTGATACGCTGCTGGTAGCGAGCGTTCGCGGGCGTGCTGCATTTTCGAAACTCGTCGCCCCCACAGCTGCTCTGATTACATTGAGGCGCGCCACGCCTACCGCAGGGTCGTGCTCCACCATCCGGGGCGACAGAAACTGCTCAGAGGGACGCAAGAAGGGGAGCACCAACCTCAAAGAGCGCAGTCTGAGTCGAGTGCAACAAGTTCGACGAGACGTGCGGACATGCGGACTGCCCGACATGCTGATACATGGCCCAAGTGAGAAGAGCCTTTGGATGCCCCAGATTCACGTGATTGCGTGGTTGGAGACAGGCCACACGTCAACGTTCAGGATCGCAGAGCGACCGACTTACCAGAACGTCAGGATACGTCGCGACCTACTGAGCGAGGAGGGACAGCATTCTTGCCGGGGCCGCGATGGGAAGTGGATCTGCGCTGTGATGCGCCCGTGATATCTCACACATTCCAGCATACGATGAGACGCCTGGCCGAGGGGGTGTGATAGCGGATGTATGCGATGCCGCTAGGATTCTTTACCACTGAGCAGGACAGCGACGACGATTTCGAGCGAATTCAGACTCACACTGCTCGCTAAACCAGTCCTGACTTATTCATAACAGCGAGCACGAAGGCGCTCGTCAGCCTTTAGCTGGTTGATAATCAGGTGACCACGAGCAGCTCAAGCTGAGGCGGCTCCCAAAGACACGAGCTCATCAGACTGTTTCTGACCAGGACTGCCATGTTGCGCGTCACCCCTCATAACTGATGCTCTGCCCTACTCCCGTATAGAGCTCAGCCGCAGAAGAATCTTCGAGATCATGCTCGGACGCGGAAGCAGGCAGACAGCTCACTGGCTGAATCTAGGACTTACACATTCAGGTCACTATGCGACCGCAAAGGGAGCACACAAGCTTGATTGGGCGTCAACCTATCCACGCTAAGCGTCCAGACGCGCATGCAAATACTCCGCGCGTCTGCCCTAAACGGTCAGGAACCGTTAGAAGCACGTCAAACATTCGAAACTTCACTCGCGCTTGCACGCATCCGCGCAGAGAAGCACAGACGCGATCTGATCAGCAGCTTTGCTTGGGCCATCTACTCGTCTTGGGACTGGAGAGTCATCTCGCAGTCACATTATGGAGTGATCTGGGCGCTTGCCGAAGAGAGGAGGGTTCCAAGAGGGAGGACTGCCCTGTCAAATCGCGATGGAAACCCGCTCAAGACGGCCTGATGGGAAAGTGCTCGTCTGACCTGCACCTGCACATCAAACGACACATGCGGTGCCGCTTAAGTCCGCGACGATGCGACCCGATCGCGGTCGCCTGCTACTTCCACGCTTGACATTGGCCCCGTGCATCGACCTCAGCTGCTTGCGCATCGAATGTGCTCTGATCTTGCCGCGCATGCCATTCCTTGGCTGCTCGGATCTGCGCAGGGCCGGTCTCGCCGCCATGCGAGAGAGTAGGCTCGACGGCGCTCGGCCGCTCCGCCCACAATCCGGTAGGTCTACCTCAGCAGACCATCGAAGAATACATTGGCGGGGCACTCGCGCCAGAGAAGAGCTTTGAGAGGTAAGGGCACCGATACTTCCTGCTGTCCCTCCAGTACGCCGAGACTCGAGCAATGCTACGGGCTGGACCGTTCATCATTTCAACCCTCTGCCTGAGGGAAGGTTATGCACGCGCTTGCGTTCAAAGCCGTTGGCCACCCTTTCAATGCGGCGGTGCACGCGCTCAGCTTCCGGCAAAGCGAGCCTGAGCAGTCTTCGCACCTCACTTGCGCGCACTTGCCCCCGGCGCGTTGAGCCGGCAGAGCTGGCGTTTGTCCAAGAGCCTCGCGTGCGGGGAGCCTCAGCTTGCTCGCTCAGCGCTCAAAGGATCCTGGGATGGTGATGTCTCCTGCGCGCCACGGCAGCCGTTGCACGAACCTTCCAAAACTTTACTCTGACGTTTTCGGCTCCACAGCTGTGTGATCAGACTTTCCTTTTGTTCTAGCTAGCACGCAAGCAACATTCGTTCGTCAACGGGAGCACTTGGCACGGCACTCCGCAGCTAATCGTGTCTTCAGGCTCCATAGCAGTTTGATCAGGCTTTCCTTTTGTTCTAGCTAGCACGCAAGCAACATTC